CTAACTTAAAGTTAAAGTTATCATGTTTTCTTTTATGTAAATTATACATATATTTACATGTAAATTTCACGATTATTTACAAAAGAGTTTATAAGTTTCTTTTAAACAGTCTCACATGTAAAACGAATTTTGACTTACTTTAATTTCTCTTTTCGCACTAAAACTTCGTCAAAGTCAAACTCCCTAATCCAATCCATCCACTTACTCCAATATTTATATAACCTCAAAATCATAACATTTTCAATATGAAGTTATCACAATTCAAATCTAATATAAGTAATTTTGTCGATTCCTAGGTAAACAGATGTTTCAGATATTATTATATTCAAATAAATCTCTATTCATACAACACATTCATCAAAATTAATAGAAAGGAGAAAGTTTACTGTAATTATTGTTACAAAGTTTTCATTAATAGCCAAATTTCATTATTATGCAATTATATTGCATTATTTACTTAAACTAAAATAGTTTGTTTTAATAAATATTGAGTTTCAGTCAATCACATCACCAAGCGGGCTTTATCAAAATCTTACATCGATATAAACAATCGATTGTTGGAAAGTTAAACCTTAGTTCAAAATCATCAATGCCTTTATGACAGCAAGTCGCGTTATCTTCATTTGAAATAGAGAATTATTACCCCGTACTTGAAAACTAGAGAGTAAAACATTAAGTTGTTGACCTGTGAAATATTACCGTCAAACGATGACGGACAAACGGACAAACATGAAATATTCGGAGAGGCCAATATGGTTGTCGTGCATGTGAGGATTGTCTAACAGAGGATGTGGGATGCAGATGGGTTTGTGTGATAACACTGCCAAAAACATATCTCACCTTAGTGAAATAACTGGTTAACTCCAAATTTAAAACTCCAAATTTGAAATTTAAAAGGACTTAACCTGTTAATGCACTAAACGTGAATTATGTTTCACAAAAAAAATCCTATAGTAGCCTTACTATGCATGCATCCTATGAAAATAATAATATTTATAATGAATGTTTTTGTATCAATTATGAAATGAGCCGCGCCACGACAAAACCAACATAATGGGTTTGCGACCAGCATGGATCCAGACCAGTCTGCGCATCCGCACAGTCTGATCAGGATCCATGCTGTTCGCTATCAGTTTCTCAACTTTTAATATGGTTTGTAAGCGAACAGCATGGATCCTGATCAGACTGCGCGGTAGCGCAGGCTGGTCTGGATCCACGCTGGTCGCAAACCCATTATGTTGGTTTTGTCATGACGCGGCTCAAATATTTTTTGAGAAAAAAATATGTTGAACGGAACACATTCATCTCTCTCTCTCTCTCTAGCCTACATAATCCATATACCGGTATTTTTCTTTCAAGGTTTTGTTGTAACGTATGAAACTGTATACTGTTAACATTGTTATTCATGATACTGCAGAACTTCCATAACAGACCTGTTAGTCGATACGCACTGTATTTATGAATAAATGCTGACTCAAATTGTTCTAAAAATAAGTGCCTCTTTTTTTGCATGCTTCAAAGTGCACGCTTCAAAACAAATGTGTTTCCTTTCAAGACCGAGATATGCATCAGAATTATTGAACAATCTATATAATTTTACTGATTTGGCGCTGATTTACCGAACTGTAATTATACCTATTGAAGTCATTCTTTGAAATGCAGAAATTAATTTAATTTTTTTAATTACATTGTATTTCATTTATCGAACGAACGTTCATTTAATCTTAAGACAAACGAATTTTGATGAATGAAATAATTCAGTAACATAATCCATTCTAATCTACTAGTATTTTCGCAGCACCCTTGGATATGTACTGAAGCTTTTCGTGTATTTTATAGTCCTGAGTTTGTTCCAATCTGATTAAAATCAGCGCCTAATCAACGCTACGCATTATGATCTGATGATCACTTATGGAAGGTCATATTCTCGTGACCTGTGTCCTTCCAAACAGCCAATCACCGGCAAGCTTTCACAATTTTGAAAACGATGCGGTTATTAATTTTAACCGCCAGAAAACCAATACGGAGTAGGTAATTTTCATAATTTTTGTTGTCCATAATTATAGCAGACAGGTAAACTGGCAAAACAATTTTTAAACCCCATTAAAAATTGAGTCCATTATTTCCATTTTTTTGTTTCAAATAACATTTTCTTTTCTAACCAAAATCAACAATTTGTTTTACTTCCACGGATACTTCGTCTAACGCTTTTCTGTAAAGGTCAGTTTGATTACATTGCTAAAATAGCTTTCTCGGGAAATCCGAATGACAATAAAGGCGAAACAAATAAGGTTGCAATCAGATCTACATGCAAGAAATAACATAAGTAGATCTAAACTACTTCTAGACTATAGTCAGTGATGAAATATTTCAACAAGGACCGTACAGAAATACAAAGAAAAAGCCCTGAACATGTTGTCGGAAAATCTAATTTTCCCCGAAATTATCACTTCGTGTTTTTTATCATTTTAATTTTCACAATTGATCACTTTAATCCGTGGACAAATTGTCATATTTCATGAACGCAGTGTTAGCGATTGAAAAGAGAAACAAAATTTTTTAGCAGTGTATGAAAAACACATTGGAAGGGAATGCATATTGCAGTGAAAAGAGATAATTGTCGCACCTCTATTTTTGTTTTTCAATTACTATTCAATGTTCAGAATGTTGATAGAAAAAAGTTATTAACTTAAAAGATATTGTGAACAGAAATAACAGTGACCATGTTCCTTTGTAAAAAGTGATCATTGTGTTATTGATAGACGTCAACAGTTTAAGGTGTTGTATGTAGAGTTCGTGGTTTTGTGATTAGGGTTAATGGTGTTGTATGTAGAATTCGTGGTTTTGTGAACAGTGTTGACAGTGTTGTATGTAGGATTGACGTTTTGTGAACAGTCTTTAAAGTATTGTATGTGGAATTCATGGTTTTGTGAACAGTGTTAATGATGCTGTATGTAGAATTCACGTTTTGTGAACAGTGTTGACAGTGTTGTATGTAGAATTTATGGTTTTGTGGACAGTGTTAATGATGCTGTATGTAGAATTCATAGTTTTGTAAACAGTGTTGATGGTTTTGTGAACAGTGTTGACATTGTTTCGTGTAGAATTTATCGTTTTGTTAGCAGTGTTGATGGCGTTTTATGTAGAATTCTCATTTATGTTTTTATGAAAAGTGTTATGATGTACGTTGTATATGTATAATTCATGATTTTTGTGAACAGTGTTGATGGTGTTGTATGTATAACTTATTAATCAAGAAGTTTATTTGACAACATCAAATTTCATATGATTGCAAGAAGTGATTATTTATGTGTGAGAACAAGCAGTATTGTCACTCAAGATAAAACAGATTTGTAAATTTACCCCTTTAGCTGCTGTTCTTGTCTAATGAACAAATTATGTAGATGTGTGTGGTAGTCTTAGTGTTATGAGCAGTGCCTTATGACGTTGCGATTGGTAGTGATAGGTTTATTTGTAAATACGATTGTTATTATTACAATTTATGTTCAAACTATAGACATGTAGCGCCTAGACGTGTGCTTGCAAGTGCGCAGTATATTTTTTAATTATTGCGTGACAGAAATAGATTTTACAGAAGATAATACGGGTTGTATAATACGGATTTAGTAAACAGTATATTTTTGTTTGTTTTGTTGTTGTTGTTTTTAATTGTGATTAAAGAAGTTATCATATTATATAGTTTAAGTGTTAGAATTCACAACGCATAGCGTGATTCTAACTGAGCAATACTAATAATAAGTGTTATTTGTGATTGAGGCGTATGAAGGAATATTCTGCTAAAGGACGTCACGAATGTCCTCCTACTCTATAAGCAGAGGAACAAATAAGGTCAACCCTTCTACCCAAGAAATGAACTGACACAGTCAACCAGTAAATCTACGCTAAAAAAAAACATGTGCACGTTTGATTCTGTATGGTTAAATGAGAGCGTATATAACTAGTTAAATAGACATGTACTCTATTGGCGAGCTTTTTTATCATTTGCTAATTTGAATGCTTCTACTTAAAACACTTTAACCAAATTAAATGAATGTTATTACAACAAAAAAAATAATAATTCGATTTTACATTATGTACAAATTTTAACTTTACTAAACAACATTGAAATGTTGTAGATTTAAAAGCCTATGAAGATATTCTTTAACAAATACTAGCTGGATTTGTAAAATAAATTACCTCTGATTGCCAATTGAATAAATGAGGATTCGATGTCAAAATGATGTAAAATGAGCTGGCAATTGTGCAGATATGGGTCATGATGCACTAATTATTCATTATCATTCCCTGCGGAACGTAGTGTAAGGGGAAGGAACTCCGGATTATTTCAAAGATTTTATTCATATAGCTGGATTCTATATCACAATTTCGAGAGGTAAATGGGTCGAAAACTATTCGAATATTTATAATTTTCAAGAAACAGCAAAATATTTAAATGAATCATAAAAGCTTATCGTTGACATCATCTTAATCAGCACCATTATCATCAGCACCATCATCATCATCATCATCATCGTATATTAGTATAATTAATTAATATCGTTAGCTTTATTGTAATCGTACGTTATTGTCAATATCGCCATAACATCATCATCAACACAACCATCATAACCATCATAACCATCATCATCATCATCATCATCATCATTTTATATTATTATTATTATTATTATTATTATTATTATTATTATTATTATTATTATTATTATTATTATTATTATTATATTATTATTATTATTATTATTATTATTATTATTATATTATTATTATTATTATTATTATTATTATTATAACATCGTTATCATCACCATTATCATTATCACTATAATCATCATTATCCTCTTCGCCACTAAGTATGTCAATTAAGTGAATAGTATAATATATATTATATAGTATAATACTAGCATAACTATTTTTAAACAAAGTATCCACTTTAAAAGTGAAGAGCGGATTTTATGAAGTAAGTTTTATCTTAAGGTCCTTGCAGATAACGCTCAAGGTCAACAGTATTTAACTATCAAATAGGTCATAATTTATGCGGATACATAAGTGACTTAGTGGGTATACATAAAAGAGGTATGGGCTCTGAATATTTTGTTGAGCAAACTGATATACATGTACATATTTAATTGTATGTTGATACACTTAGATCATGTATATAGAGAGCTGAATGCATGTATAGATCTATATATACATTTAAGCGTATTTATAATTAAGCATTTTTAAAATCGTTGTTTTTGTTGTTCTTGTTATTCGGGAGTGGGGGGGTTGAATGTTAAATTAGTGAAATTAAACGTATTTCAAAAGAAGTAAGACCTGTAGCTAAATTCAAAATCATTTTTATCACTTAGGCCTAATAACCCGTCTTCGCTATATGGTTCATGTGACAATATATTCCTAAATATGGTTTTCTATCACTGCTATAGTTATAAGAATGTTGGTTTTAGAACTTCTTTAAGTTGAAGTTAACATGAGCGGGAAATAGATATAAAAACCTTCAATTGTTTTTAAACTTTTTTTTTCATTAACCAAAGTTTAGTCAATGGTAAAATGAACTTTGAGAACACCCCTATCGATACAGCAAAGATGGCGGCTTCCATAGGAAATCTCGGTGGAAAAGTTGCTCTCATTACAGGTTAGATTTTTTCGCTTTTTCTGTTTATTTGCGATTTATATTAACTGCCTTTTGATACATAGATAATACTGATATAACTTTATTTTGTCTATGTTACTTCATCGGTGTTTTATGAAGTATTACGAATGACCGGTTTCACCATGTTTACATTTTCGTGTTTACTTTATGAAGGACAATGACTAGGGGCTATCTCAACATTAGTGTATTTAATTTTGAATGATATATATATCATTATGTAAAAAAAATATCAAAATTACCGCATCAGTCAAGTAGATGGTAGCCTATTAATCGAGTTCTGTAGAACTTAGAAGCCAAGTGTTTACATTCCGACTTTCCTTTCACTATCAGGTTAATTCGGTGTGGGGTGGGTAGAAGGGGGAGAGGAGGCGGTATGGTCCAATTCGCAGGGCGGATGATTTTAGCATCTGACTGTCCCTGCATATTTGACCCTTAACCTGGGTTTTGATACTACAAACGTCTACGAACAAAGGCCTCACTATTCATGAGGGTTACATAAAATGCCAATGTTAGAATAGTATGTTATTTAATTTCTATATTTAGGCTAGAATTTAATGCCAAATAACTTTCTATTTCAATCCATTCTTTTTGTTTTCTTCTAAGTATATATATTATATTTTAAACAGTATTAAAGCCTATTTATTAGCCTAAGGCATAGCCGTATGTTTGCCTTTGATACGGTTTAAGGTATCTGACTGTTATTTGATTGGTTCTCATTCATGGTTATTGGTTTGATTCCGACAAAAAATCAATGATGAATTCATTAGTACAAATTAGCGGTCAAAGGGGGAAAGCACAACAGAACAAACAATACGAAAACTTGGAACATTATGTCATTGTGTTTCTTTGACTTACATTACAGGTGCAAGTTCCGGGATCGGAGCAGCGACCGCCAAATTGTTCTCTAAACTCGGAGCATCTGTGGCACTGACTGGCAGAAATGAAGTAAATTTACAGCGAGTAGGTCAAGACTGTAAGAAGGTAAGGTATTTCACGTGTTTTATTTATTTGAAAAAAATCTTTAATCGTGATGTGTTCGGTAACAAATCAAAACCAAACCATGCAAACAAAAGATATATGACCCTTTTTACTATCTGGGGCAATAAGTATGCTACAGATGTTGAACTGCAAATATGTTACACTTAAGTTTTATGAAATTAAAACCAAGGGACGTAAATGATTGCCTGATGTTAGTTCGAGTTACAAGATTATTTTCCCCTGTACTTATTTCAATTAAAAAAGTAAGTTATTAGAGATATTACATTATTACCTATGTTTGCCAATGACATTTCATTTCATACTAGAATTAATATAAATATACTTGGAGTGCAAAGTTTTAATATTAAACTTTATTAAAAGTTTCAAGACACTGTGTACATATATTTGGATTTTACAAAATCGTATTGATCATTTTGGAAATGAAAAAAGCTCAGTTGACCCATTTGCAGTCATTGTACCATGCAAAAGGCTCTTCCATTTACACAGGTCTCTTCCATTTACATTGGGGTCGTCCATTTACATAGGCGTCTTCCATTTACATAGGCGTCCTCCATTTACATAGGGGTCTTCCATTTACATAGGGGTCTTCCATTTACATAGGGGTCTTCCATTTACATAGGCGTCCTGCATTTACATAGGCGTCTTCCATTTATATAGGCGTCCTCCATTTACAAAGGGGTCTTCCATTTACATAGGCGTCTTCCATTTACATAGGAGTTTTCCATTTACATAGGCGTCTTCCATTTACATAGGAGTTTTCCATTTACATAGGCGTCTTCCATTTACATAGGAGTTTTCAATTTACATAGGAGTTTTCCATTTACACAGGCGTCTTCCATTTACATAGGCGTCTTCCATTTACATAGGAGTTTTCCGTTTACACAGGCGTCTTCCATTTACATAGGAGTTTTTCATTTACATAGGAGTTTTCCATTTACACAGGCGTCTTCCATTTACATAGGAGTTTTCCATTTACATAGGGGTCTTCCAATTACATAGGCGTCTTCCATTTACATAGGGGCTTCCATTTACATTGGCGTCCTCCATTTACATAGGCGTCTTCAATTTACATAGGCGTCTTCAATTTACATTGGCGTCTTCAATTTACATTTGGCGACCTCCATTTACATAGGGGTCTTCCATTTACATAGGCGTCCTCCATTTACATAGGGGTTTTCCTCTTTACATAGGCGTCTTCCATTTACATAGGGGCTTCCATTTACATTGGCGTCCTCCATTTACATAGGCGTCTTTAATTTACATTGGCGACCTCCATTTACATAGGGTCTTCCATTTACATAGGTGTCTTCCATTTACATAGGTCTCTTCCATTTATATAGGCGTCCTCCATTTACATAGGGGTCTTCCATTTACATAGGCGTCCTCCATTTACATAGGCGTCTTCAATTTACATAGGCGTCTTCAATTTACATTGGCGTCTTCAATTTACATTGGCGACCTCCATTTACATAGGGGTCTTCCATTTACATAGGCGTCCTCCATTTACATAGGGGTCTTCCACTTACATAGGCGTCTTCCATTTACATAGGGGCTTCTATTTACATTGGCGTCCTCCATTTACATAGGCGTCTTCAATTTACATTGGCGACCTCCATTTACATAGGGTCTTCCATTTACATAGGTGTCTTCCATTTACATAGGGGTCTTCCTTTTGTAAAGAGGTCTTCCATTTACAAAGGCGTCTTCCTTTTACATAGGAGTCGTCTATTTACATAGGGGTCTTCCATTTACATAGGTCTCTTCCATTTACATAGGGGTCTTCCATTTACAAGCGATAGAGTGGATAATTGCTGCCTTTGTTATCAAGTCCTTCGTTGTTTCATATTGACAAATACTTCAAGTTATAATTATCATTGCGGTTATTTGAATTGAACGGGTATTACAAAATTTTTTTGGTTTAAAAATGGATACCCAAAAAAATAAAAAAGTTTTTTAAAATTTTTGTAAAATTCCCTTTTCCCAGTACGTCAAGTTTTTTTTCATCTGGGTCCCATTAAAACTCTCCATTTTAAACAAATTTTTTTTCCCCACCCCAAGCCCCAAATTTCAGTTTTTTAAATTGAGCCCCCTTAAAAATATTTTTTTCCATTTTAATTTTTACTAAAATGAAATAATTCAAACGGAAATTCGTCAAAAAAAATTTTTCCCCGTCAAAAGATAAATATAAGCCCCAAACTAAGAAATAGTCAGGGGAAGTTGTTTTTTTTTATCCCCATAAAAAATTTTTAAAAATAAAATTTGCGCAGATTTCCGTAACGCCCATAAAAAATCTGATTTTAAATGTCGCTTACCTGTAGGGATTGAAATCAAAAACTGTTTTATAGCGCCCGTTGAACCCTTTAAAATCAAATCCCCTTAAAGTAGATGTTTTGTGTACAATTATTTTGGTGCAGTTTTCGTGCAAATTTACGAAAATCAACGACACAACTTATAAACAATGCTATTCAAATGCATATAATAATCGCATTGCATTAATTAATAGATTTCTACATTTCTGTCTGTTTACAAATTTTCTTATAAACATGCACTTCTGTTATACGGTATTTGGGACGTTCAAGGTAAGGATTTTAGTACTGTGCATACCGTGCATATCGTGCATTGTTGGGTTTTGATTGTTTTATCAGATAAAATTTGTTTTATGACATCCCATTGAAGACGTGCGTCAAATGAAGTGTTTGATATTTGTAGTGATTTCAGCTTTCTGTCAGTGTCAGTGTTTTTTAACTTCATACATGTCATCAATTGAACTTTTTTCAAGCACGGTATTTGTCACATGCCATATTCTGTCTGTTTTACAAATTGACAGAACGTGGGTACCGTATTACTTTGATACCTAGCGTTTCTGGTATTTTTATTTTATTTTTTTAGCCCTTACTTATCCCCGGTGATCTATCGAAGGAGAGTGATACACAGAGGGTTCTGGACACTACAATAAGTCATTTCGGCTCTCTTGATGTTTTGGTATGTAAATGGTGGTCTCAAAGGGACGTTATTCATGCATATCTAGTCGCAACATGTGACTGTAGTTACTTCCCCTGGGGATACATTAGTTACACGATTTTTAGAGCGTCTGTAACATAATATAAATCTGCAGATAATTGACAACAAACTTGTATAAACGGAAAAATCGCTACTGGGATCCAACTTATTTACCGGACAATCAGTTTACAGGACAAAAGCTATTACTGCTGAATAGTGCTTTATTTTTTGCTTCGATTCAAAAATCATACAGTCTGAATTGTACATACACTTTCTATTTCTAAGTAAATAACAACAAAACCACTCTCAGGTAAATATTGTTGATTCAGTTCTTTATCTACTAACATGCCCTTTTGTTTACTAGTTATTTCATGACCTGTTTATGCGGGGGAATAATCTCTTCTGCGCAGGCCCGAAAATAGAGACCCTAAAATTAATGTGTTTTTTTTGATATGTTTTACTTTTGATTCTTTTCAACGTTATCGTAACATATTTTAATGATAAAACGTAATTCTAAACTTAATCTTAACAGTATCTCGTTGTTGTTTTTTTACAAATAAGTGTAAATTAAAGAAACATATAAGGAAACGGGTTACGCCCATGGGAGGAAACTCTACATGAAATGTAAATAAAATAGATTTTATGGCTTTTGCAACAATTTGTTTGCACGATTTTTTTCCTCTTATAATGGTCTTATTTAAAGACAAATTTCTTCAGTCAAATGTTTAATTTCATGTTTGATAAAAGAATGTTTACGTGCGTTAAGAACCCAAAATTATTTGGGTAAACTTCCATTTTTCTTTTATTATTTTAAATAAAAGTTACAGATAAAAAACTTCATATTTTGTCCGGTAATATGTAGGATCCCAGTAGAGTATAATTAGTTGTGCATAAGCTTTTTTTGTTTCAAGTACCTGTCATAATAACATAAGATTAAATGAATATGCTAAATGGTTCGAGAACATGGCTTCCGATTATTTGACCATCAAGGCTGTTGGTTCAAACCCCACCAGAGACTTTGACTTCTTTTATATGATTAATCTACCGTAAATCGGTGGTTTTACTTGTGTGCCGGCGGTTCAAGCCTGAAATAATGAATTGAGGGGCAACATGGGAACACCATAATTATCTGTTAATTACCTCTTTAACTTATGATCGTTTGCTTTACAGGTCAATTGTGCAGGTATCCTTGAGCTGGGAAATATAGAAAATACTACATTAGAGCAATACGATAGAATATTCAACATAAATGTAAGGTACGTCAATTTTGATTGGTCAGAAATTGATATACTCTGTTTTGATTGGTCAGACATTGATATAGTCTATTTTGATTGGGCAGACACTAAATAGTCATTTTTGATTGGTCAGACGTAATTGGAATGTTCAGTGTACTTGCGCATGCCGTACTGATCATTGGTTTTGTCAGTCTTGCCGATGAAATTTAAAAGGAGGTGTCTTCTTGTATATTATATAGTTGTATGGCAATATGACAAATGCATTCTCAGAGAAGAATAAATTATCATATAATACTGCTTAACAAGTTTCATATTTCTACGATTATGAAATTCTGGAAACAAAGTGATCCCTCGGAAGCATTAATCACAACAAAATAACATAAGAATTGCAGACTCGGTTTGATTGAGTCTGTACATGAGGGATAATGAATAAGTGCAACATCCCTCACGCCCCCTAGCACCGGCTTGAGCGGTACTCAATTCTCAACACTTTATAGTGCTGGCATCAATGATCCCGAAGGACCAGAAAATATAACAACACTGAAGTGAAGTACGGGGCAACATTTTACGGCTGCCACACAGCACTTGACACCTGCTGTTGTGAAGTACAAAATTCTGGAAACAAAGTGATCCCTCGGAAGCATTAATCACAACAAAATAACATAAGAATTGCAGACTCGGTTTGATTGAGTCTGTACATGAGGGATAATGAATAAGTGCAACATCCCTCACGCCCCCTAGCACCGGCTTGAGCGGTACTCAATTCTCAACACTTTATAGTGCTGGCATCAATGATCCCGAAGGACCAGAAAATATAACAACACTGAAGTGAAGTACGGGGCAACATTTTACGGCTGCCACACAGCACTTGACACCTGCTGTTGTGAAATACAAAATTCTGGAAACAAAGTGATCCCTCGGAAGCATTAATCACAACAAAATAACATAAGAATTGCAGACTCGGTTTGATTGAGTCTGTACATGAGGGATAATGAATAAGTGCAACATCCCTCACGCCCCCTAGCACCGGCTTGAGCGGTACTCAATTCTCAACACTTTATAGTGCTGGCATCAATGATCCCGAAGGACATCTTTGCTATATATGAAGCCATCTTTGCTCTAATCACAAAAGTCCATAGATAGTCCCTGCACTGCGAAAGCCAAACACTCGCGCAAAAAAATAGCTTGAAAGCAACTGTTATTAAATAATCGGACCAGAAAATATAACAACACTGAAGTGAAGTACGGGGCAACATTTTACGGCTGCCACACAGCACTTGACACCTGCTGTTGTGAAATACAAAATTCTGGAAACAAAGTGATCCCTCGGAAGCATTAATCACAACAAAATAACATAAGAATTGCAGACTCGGTTTGATTGAGTCTGTACATGAGGGATAATGAATAAGTGCAACATCCCTCACGCCCCCTAGCACCGGCTTGAGCGGTACTCAATTCTCAACACTTTATAGTGCTGGCATCAATGATCCCGAAGGACATCTTTGCTATATATGAAGCCATCTTTGCTCTAATCACAAAAGTCCATAGATAGTCCCTGCACTGCGAAAGCCAAACACTCGCGCAAAAAAATAGCTTGAAAGCAACTGTTATTAAATAATCGGTTGTAGTAGATCGGGTTTATAACTGACCGTTGTCGGTGATATTCAGGCACTACGCTCGCCATTGTAGACCTCTTTTGGCGTTGAAGTATGTCACGTGAAGAAGCTTGGCATCCTGTGTCAGAAGTATCGTAGACAGAAGCGGCCATGGTATTCTTTTCCCATCTTAAATTATTCACCATACTTATGGTATACTACTAGAGTAACAATATGACTAACACCCGAACAAGTGACGGATAAGATTTATCTGATCAGGAAAAAAGGGTCTGTAACAAAGTTTTTATTTGAGCCGCGTCACGACAAAACCAGCATAGTGCGTTTGCGACCAGCATGGATCCAGACCAGCCTGCGCCTCAGCGCAGTCTGATTAGGATACATGCTGTTCGCTTACCAACCCTTTTACAAGTAGAGAAACTAATAGCGAACAACATGGACGCTGATCAGACTGCACGGATGCGCAGGCTGGTCTGGATCCATGCTGGTCGCAAACGCACTATGTTGGTTTTGTCATGACGAGGCTCATTTGTGGTTTTTTCTTCAATTGCAGATCAATATACCATCTCACAATGCTTGCAGTTCCTCATCTTATTAAAACTAAAGGCAATATAGTCAACGTTTCCAGCGTGAATGGTTTGAGAGCTGTAAGTATGGATAAATCAGTGAACATTTGTTCCATTTTTGTGTCATGATCTTGTGACGCAAACCGCCATAATGGTAATTTCTCAAATAATGACGTCACAATGGAAAAACACCCTCCAAGTGAATCACGGAAACTGTATAAAGGGACGGGGGATATAATATATAATAGTAAATGTATAACCGGTAATGTATTTTCAGACATAAGTTGATATTTAGCAATTTATTAACGTTTTAAGTCAATAAATTTAGTTTCTCATACAAAACGTAAATATAAATTTAAAAACTAGCAGGTTTTATGGTAATTTATGCAAACAAACAGAAAACGGGTTTAAATCGGTGTAAAACATATATTCCCTTCCCAGTTAGTTTTTTTTGTATTTTTGTTATCTATAGGTATTATAAATCATTGTTTAAAATGGTTTTGCAAGCATTGATGGAAGGAGTTAAATGTTTTATGGAAACAGATATGTTTAAGATTATTGATATAAATCTGTCTCATTACGCTGAATAATTTATGGTGTGCAAAAATAGAATACAAAGACTGCGAATAGAATTCCGATCATTTTAATGAAGAAACAAACGTACAGTCAAAGTTCTGTTTAATTTTGAAATAAGTGTTAGGAATATTTGTGAATTTAAAAACGCATGAATGTAATCTTCAGTATTTGTATCTGTGACAAATTCTATATAATTATACAATTTAAAATGTTGTCATACTGCACACAATCCGCATGTTGTACAATGTTGCCATTGCCCATGAAAAACTCGTGTTTTTTTATCGGGTTTGCTCTACTTCTACTACTGCACAACATTTTCCAGCTTAAATAATGCACACATTTCCAATATCATAATTGTTGTTTGCAATGTTTAAAAGTAATGCCTCAGTCATAAAACTGTTGTAACTCTGGTCACAATTTTCGTAGAATATTAGTAACAGATATTTGATTTGGGAATCAGAATCGCCGTTGTAGAATTTCCTTGCTTGCAGATGTTTATACGTAGACAAATAAATTTCCCAAGCATTGAAGGTTTTTAATCATTTCCTGCTATTTTTGTGCAAAATCAAAAGCACTGCACTGGCAGCTATATCGCTTGCGCTGCCGTCCCTGTGTTATAAATGATACCTTTTTTTTAATAAAATCGGTTTGACTGGCTATATGTTTCATTTTTTCCAGTTTCCAAACGTATTATCTTACTGTATGTCGAAGAGTGCCGTCGATCAATTTACCAGATGTGTTGCTTTAGGTAATATTCTTGTCGTTACTTTGGCTTCAACGCAATGAGCAACTTTGATCAAGATCTCTCATTTAGAATCGATTGCCCGCCTTTCTCCGTACATATAACACATGATCACGTTTGAAACATTTGAAACTTTGTTTAGCACATTTGATAATATTTGTAACTGTTGCAACATTTTTAAGGCATGCAAGAACATTTTAACATCTTTAACGCATGAAATATTTTTAACAAATATGTTTTATTATGAAGGTGATAACCTACCTCGTCATTTATATCTTAGGTTAGTAACAGTGATTCTACTTGAGTGTCTGCAGCTTTCAAAAATGTAATAAAGTTTTATAATAATGACATCATTAACATGGTCCTATTCAATCTGTTTGAATAATTCTTCTGCATGATTTTTTTCCAGAACTTGCGAGCAAAAACGTTCGTGTAAATGCTGTCAAGTGAGTAATGTTTTTTTTTGTATCGATTACTATTTGTTGCGTTATTCAGACCTTATCTTCCTTTATATTGCTTTTGATAATGCCATTTGGAAACTTAGATGCTGATGTTATAGACTTAAAACACCCTTCACTTTTTGCCAGTTTGCAGATTTCTGCTCTCTTTACAAATGATTTGACATAACAACTCAATAAAACATCACTAACAAGATACAGTGTAGGAAACCTATCAACCCATTACAAAGTATACACCGACCCTGTCGCTTGTAGCAATCAGTGTTACATTGTATCTTCCCTTACCACGCTAAATATCTTAAATGAACCCGTCCATTCTTTAATGTGGACAAAACCATTATCATTAGTAGGAAAATTTTCAAAATAAGTAATGACGTAATGGGTAGACCATGATTAGACGGCAAGGTTCTTGGTCTGAATTGGTCGCCTTGGTAGAAGAAAACGTACGGTTAGAATACATCTTGTTTTTAGCTCACCTGTCACAAAGTGACAGGGTGAGCTTTTGTGATCGCTTTTCGTCCGGCGTCCTTCCGTCGTCCGTCCGTCCGTAAACTTTTACTTTAAATGACATCTCCTCATAAACCACTGAGCCAATTTCATCCAAACTTCACAGGAATGTTCCTTTGGTGGTCACCTTTAAAAATTGTTCAAAGAATTTAATTCCATGCAGAACTCTGGTTGCCATGGCAACCGAAAGAAAAAACTTTAAATATCTTCTTTTAAAAAACCCTAAGAGCTAGAGCTTAGATATTTGGCATGAAACATCTTCTAATAAGTGTCTACCAAGTTTGTTCAAATAAAAGCCCTGGGGTCAAAATTGGCCCCGCCCCAGGGGGTCATTGATTTTCCCTATATGCATATAATAAAAACTTAAAAAATCTTCTTTTAAAGAACTCAAAGAGCTAGAGCTAAGATCTTTAGCATGAAACATGTTCTAATGGGTGTCTACAAAGTTTGTTCAAATAAAAGCCCTTGGGTCAAAATTGGCCCCGCCCCGGGGGTCATTGATTTTCCTTATATGTGTATTGCAAAAACTTAAAAAATCTTCTTTGAAAAAACCCAAATAGCTAGAGCTAAGATCTTTAGCATGAAACATGTTCTAATGGGTGTCTACAAAGTTTGTTCAAATAAAAGCCCTTGGGTCAAAATTGGCCCCGCCCCGGGGGTCATTGATTTTCCTTATATGTGTATAGCAAAAACTTAAAAAATCTTCTTTGAAAAAACCCAAATAGCAGGAGTTTAGATATTAAGCATGAAACATCTTCTAGTAAGTGTCTACAAAGTTTGTTCAAATAAAAGCCCTGTGGTAAAAACTCGCCCGCCCCAGGTATGTCATTGATTTTAACTATATGTGTATAGTAAAAACTTAAAAAGCCTTCTTTTAAAAAAACACCATAGGCTAGAGCTTAGATGTTTAGCATGAAACATCTTCTTATTGGTGTCTACCAAGTTTGTTCAAATAAAAGCCCTTAGATTAAAATTGGCCCTGCCGTGGGGGGGGGGAGGGGGGGTAGATCGTTGTTTTTTGTTTTTCATTATATGTGTGTAGTAAAAACTTAACATAGTGAAACATCTTCTGATGGGTGTCTTCCAAGTTTGTTCAAATAAAAACCCTGGAGTTTAAACTGTCCCCGCTCCGGGTGCCTTTATACAGGTGAGCGACCTCAGGGCCATCATGGCCCTCTTGTTTGTTGTTGTTGTTGTTGTTGTTTTTAAGATTAAAATTGAAGCAATTAAATTTAAACGGTGTGAATGCGACTGCTTGGCTGTTATTCAACTATTGAACAGCCGAAACGTATATAGGTCTTTATCAAATTTACTGAAACCTGACTCGCTTTGTTTCGTGTGTTTCACATCCCCTATTCTTTTTGTTAACTTTTATTTAGAGAGCACCATTTTGAATGTTTCGTAAAATTTATTTGCAGTCCCGGTGTCACCGTTACAGAATTACAGAAACGAGGCGGTCTTGATGCCGATGCATATGCGAAGGTATTTATTGAATACATTTGAGCCGCGTCACGACAAAACCAACATAATGGGTTTGCGACCAGCATGGATCCAGACCAGCCTGCGCATCCGTGCAGTCTGATCAGGATCCATACTGTTCGCTTACAAACCCTATTACAAGTAGAGAAACTGACTGCGAACAGCATGGATCCTGATCAGACTGCGCGGATGCGCAGGCTGGTCTGGATCCACGATGGTCGCAAACTCATTATGTTGGTTTTGTCGTGACGCGGCTCATTTTTATTAACTCCATCTGTATCCAAGAAAAAATCGAGCCTTAATGGTCGCCGCGGCGTCGTCATCGTTGTGTAAAATCTATTATGTTGCCAATTATTCAAACATTTTAAAAAGTATAAACCACAGACTTGAAATACTTATGCTTATCATGACAAGGTGCAGTTGTTAGACAAGGAGCATAATTCTGAAAAAAAAATATTTATGCCTCTTTTTAACATAGAATATTTAACAGACGAGCGTTAACAGCGCAAGCGGTGCTTTTGTTAATAATACACAGCTAGCTTTTGAGTATAAATATTTAACTGGTAAATGATTCAGTCATAAAGAGGGCGCTTGAATAATTTAGGATGATTTTGTTCGTTTATTTGGTTTGTATAAAATGAATGAAATTATTCAAGATTTTTTTTATTTTTCGAAGTATTGCTTACAAATAGTGGTTTTCCGCATGTATTTTATATCGAACCCCGTCAGTTAAATATTTGAAATAGTAACAATATAATTATTAAAACATTTTTATACTACAGTTTCTGGAGCGGTCAAAAGAGACGCATGCGCTAGGTCGACCAGGTCAACCGGAAGAAGTAGCATCAACAATAGCGTTCCTAGCTTCAGATAGCGCGTCCTTTATCACAGGTGCTACTGTACCAGTAGACGGAGGCAGACATGCAATGTGTCCAAGATAAACACCTGTAATTTTTACTGAGATTACAAGTGTATTTTTACGCAGATTTCAAGCATATTTTTGCTTTACCTTATAGTATTTCAAACAGACTTTTTAAACAGTTATTATTATATCAATGTATAGAAGTTACAGTAATTTTAGAGCATGATTGACTTTGAAAAAGGAAGAACTGTGACTTCTTTAATCCAAGAAAATTATTGACTGTATTATTTTGTGAATAAAATATAAAAGTGCCAGTAAATTTTTATTATAAATAATTTTAACGATCTGGTAATGTATGTCTGTCATGGAAGCCCGACAGAACGGAAGTTGCGCGATGAGCTATTATTATGGAAGAGGGGATACTTCCGCACCTGTCGTCTGTCATCAACAATCGTCTTCTGCTTTGCAACAACTAGTAGAAAAAAGTATGCAATTACAGTATTTGATTTGTTGAATGGATCAACACCAAACTTGGCTTGTAATATTCTTTGTTGATTCTTTATAAAATTTGATTGAACATTTCCGATGCCACCATGACTTCATGTTTAGTATTCCGTCATGTCTCATCAAGCTCGTGGATTGCCGGAAATTTCGTCACGTTTCCTTTCTTATAATCACCAGCTAAGCGTCTATATGACAAAAAGAAAATACATATGTTATCAACTAAACGCTTTCCTAATGACGAAAAGTGACGAAATTTGACAAATTCAACAACCTGTTGGCAGATTGTACATCATAACACTGAAAAAGAGACATTTGCATGCTGGGAAAATCATTGTCTGCTTAAATGTCGTCTGCTTGATTCATTTAATTAAAAAAAGTTGAATGTAACATAAGTTTGTACTTGACAAAACAGCGTACACTACACTTTTTTTTAGAAAAAAAACTCGAGGCCATTATAGACAATCTCAATAAAAGCAGACACTGAAGACGCTGCTTGCTATGCTGATAATGATCTCTCTCAATCGGATAGAGGTTAATAATCAGATTCTAAATCCTCCAAACCATTCTGTCAAAGGAAATTTAGTATTACATGTAACTGAACTTGTTAACTGACCCCCTTGTGTGACACAAACGTCAGCCGACACGAGTTGTATACATATATTTGTCCTTTTTGGTTGGGTTTTACGTCCCACAAGCACAGCACGGTGGTGGGCGAAGACTTCAGGTGCCCCTACGTGCATTATTTCAGGCATAAGCTTGCACCTAAGTAGAACCACCGACGTTCCGTATGCTCCTCGTATGAAAGAATTCAAAGTCCCTGGTGCGTTCAAACTTGCAGTGTTGAGCGGCAAGTAGTTTGAAGTCAACTACCTAAACAACCACTCGGTCACGGGGACCCCCGACATAATATGTAATGACAGTATAAAGTTAAATATTATCGGCATTCAAAGACAAGTCAAGGTATTATTCTCCCCAGGTTTTATGACAAAACACTTTAGTAAATTGATATCCACGTAACAATTAAATACCATTTTTATTGTATCTATGAGGCTGCTTTTCTTATTACCGAAGGAAGTGTAGGTGGAGTAAAAATGAATACAATTTGATATAAAGCAATCTTAGGATATCTCTTTCTTTTCCTTTTCTTTCTTTTGAGCTCACCTGTCACAAAGTCCGTCCGTCCGTAAACTTTTACTTTAAACGACATCTCCTCATAAACCACTTAGCCAATTTCATCCAAACTTCACAGGAATGTTCCTTTTGGTAGTCAACTTTTAAAATTGTTCAAAGAATTTAATTCCAAGCAGAACTCTGGTTGCCATTGCAACCGAAAGAAAAATCTTAAAATATCTTCTTTTAGAAAACCACAAGAGCAAGAGCTAAAATATTTGGCATGAAACATCACCTAGTTAGTGTCTACCAAGTTTGTTCAAATAAATACCCTGGGGTCAAAATTGGCCCCGCCCCGGGGGTCATTGATTTTCCTTATTTGTATATAATAAAAACTTAAAATATCTTCTTTCAAAAACCCCAAATAGCTAGAGCTTAAATATTAAGTATGAAACATCTTCTAATGGGTGTCTACCAAGTTTGTTCAAATAAATGCCCTGGGGTCAAAATTTGTCCCGTCCCGGGGGGTCATTGATATTCCTTATTTATATACAGTAAAAACTTAAAATATCTTCTTTTAGAAAACCGTAAAAGCTAGAGCTTAAATATTTGACATGAAACATCAACTAGTCAGTGTCTACCAAGTTTGTTCAAATCAATGCCCTGTGGTTAAAATTGGCCCCGCCCCGGGGGTCATTGATTTTCCTTATTTGTATATAGTAAAAATTTAAAAACTTTTTTTAAAAAAAAAAGGCAAAATTTGATACAAACATGAACCCCTGTGGTCAAATTGCCCCCCGGGGGGGGGGGGGGGGGAAATCTTTTTTTTTTCCTATAGTATTAGAAAAAAATTAAAAAAATCTTTTTTTAAAAACCCCAAAGGTTAAAGCTTAGTATTTATCAAAAACCTTTTTAGGGTGTTACCAATTTGCAATAAATCCGGGTTTAAATTGATTGGCCCGGGGGATATTACAGGGGGCTTTTCAGGGCCACATGGCCCTTTGTTTATTTTTAATTTTTTCCAGGTCCAACCCCAAAGGGATGCCCTTTAAACTGATTTCTAAAAAAACTATGCAGGCGTTATTTGTTTAAAAAAACATAAGTTATTTACCCTTTCACTTTTTTGTAACTATGCGTACGATTAATCCTCTTAGTAACTCGTGGGCACGACTAGTTATTAGGTTTCCCAATAAAAAAAACCAAAGCAGCACCCCAAAAACACCCCACACCAAACTTCACGGTACCTCTTTTACCCTAATTTTGTACTAAAGTTTTTATGAAACTGTACATTTAAGGGGAATGCATGGGACCCTTTTTTCGAAGGGGTAGCTTTTGATTTAAGTCTTATTTGTTCTAGACATCTATTTAGTTGTTTACGGTTTGCTTTTTAAAAAAGCTAGTAGCGCTCGCTTGTTTTTTTTTTTCCGGTGGTTTAAATTTTAAAAAAATTTTTTTAAAATTTTAGGAAAATCAAAAAAAAAAGGGAAAAAAGTTTGGACCCGTTTTACCGTTTAAAAAAAGGAATATGGGATATTGAAATGATGTAAAAGATAGAATGAATTCCCCATGTTATCACAAATTTTCCCCTTGCCTTTTCTTGACCAAAAAAATTTGTAGGTAGAATTCATAAAGATGTCTCTTTATACGAAGTTAAGTTGTAATATGATATTTAGTATTGGAATGAGTGACAGACACAATTCCTAAAGTAAACACAAGTTGTCAATTAATTCTGCCAGAAAAGCCGTGATCCTATTAAAAATATAGGGATCCCGGGAATTAACCAGTCTTAGATGCTTTTCAGATAAGCCAGGATCCTATTAAAACATATAAGGATCCCGGGAATTGACCAGTTCAAGAATATAATTTTCAGAAAAGCCGGGATCGTATTAAAGTATAAAGAGATCCAAGGAATTGGCCAGTTCAAGAATATAGTTTTCAGAAAAGCTGGGATCGCATTAAAACATAAAGGGATCCCGGGATTTGACCAATTCAAGAATGTAGTCGTTGATTTTTCCAATTAATTAGGCATATAATTATAAGTATTGTGATTTTTAAGTTTGTTGATAAATAGCTCTAAATATATTTATATCCAAAGTTTAATTAATTTAACGTTCATTACATACAATAAAAAAACTTAACGTTTAATGGCCTTTCATTACGACAATAATCAACACAAATATAGTTTATAAGTTTTTCCTTATACGATCCCGGATCCCGGCCAGTCCGGGCGTCCCGGATCCTGGCCAGTAAATATATATACACTTAATACCGGAAAGGATAAAAATGACCGGAAAAAAGGAAAAAGAAAAAATGCACAGAACCAGGTGTACACTTATGTAAATTAACCAAACGAAAACTTACTACAGAGGAACAGGTGAAATCGCTAAATCAAAAGTCAGTGTTAATATGATTTATTGAAAAGAATTCATGAAAACAAACATTTTTAATAATCATAATATCTTTGCGCTCAAAACAATACTTGCTGCTTTTTAAATATGGCGTGAAAATTGAAGGTTTTTTTGACGCTATGTAAGATTAAATTTGATTGGCTAAATAATTTTGGATCCTAGCCCTGATAGATAAATTTTTATAGAAAGCTGGAAGCCAAGCTTCGATTAAATTTGTGGATGTATTCGGAGTTTTAGGTTGTTTCTCAGTAAAATCCTAACGTAATACCGGCTCGCCGTGGCGAGCCGGCAACAGGTGTGCAAGTCTTGAATCTGTGGAAAAGGAAAAGTCTATTTGACGCGCACGCTTTAATTTGTGATGAAAACAAATGTTAAAAGCAATTATCTTTTTTACCTGAAGCTACTTTTAAATAAAATAAAAACATAATGATATCAAAAATACAAAAAAAATAATATTAAAATTCTAAAATAATTCGGTGTAAAAAGATTGTAATTGGATTTTTTAACAAAAGTTCAAGATCAGGTGTGGACACTTAAATTAAAAAAAAATTCATATATCAGAATTTTTTTTCATTATAAATAGCTCACGAGACAGTGGCAGCAGCCGCGAATGAAATATGATAATTTCCATATCACAGGATAAAAAAAATCTGTATTTATAGAAAAAACTTGAACTTTCTGTATATGTTTTTTTCTCGTTTTTTTTTAACATTATGACATTATTTAACTTTTAATTTTGTGTATTGGCTGAATTTAGAAGAAAGTTGTCCGGCAAGGCACCAGTGAAATTCGGCAAAGCAGTGAAAAAAAAATTACAGTGAAAAAACGGAAAATGAGAATACGCATTTTATTTCATCAATATATCAAAACTTCATTTATAAGTATATAATAAATGGTTCATACTATCTAAAAAAAAGAAGAAAAATGAAAACCTGATTTCGCCTTTTAATGGTCTGTTATAATTAATACTTGCTTGCCAGCCGAAGAAATTTTTTAATTCATTAACCTGTATTCGAATCACCCCGCCTATTTATAATTCTAACACGACCCTCATTTTTACCCTTTTGAACATAGAAGAACCGAAATTGTGTGATATTATGCAATACAATCACTGTTGACGTTCTATGTTGACGTTCTATATCTAGACATGTGACGTTATCATAATAGATGTGACGTAACCACTCAACAAGAGGGCCAAGACAGCCCTAGATCGCTCACCTGACCCATCGAACTTATCCGAGCAATTATCTAAACCAAGCATCCTGACCAAGTTTCATGACAGGTGAGTCAAAAATAT